AGTTTATAGTCAGGTAGCGTAGAGGAAGTAGTGATTTAAAATAACAGGCTTCACTAAAATTTGTTATCAAAATGGCGTACGTCGAAAATTGAAATAGCGTTCATTATTCTAACGCTCCTAAAGGTTCCTGTTGTTGTTGTTGTAACCCGCCGGGACCTGAAAGCAGATAACATGAAAGGATTACAAGACGAATACATGGGTAAAGGAGTGGATAGGTGGGGTTGTGGTACAGGGAATGAAGGAAGGGAGAGGGGGGTATAATTTGAAACTAACCAGGATCCAGTCGAAGAAATCTAGCTACCTCAAGGGGACGAGTCCAAAGGTCAATGGGACTTAAGTTAGTGTGAGATAGGACAGTTCTTGCCGTACGAGGAAGACTACGTTCATCCTGGGTAACGAGGTCTATTGAGGACCTTTTTGGGAGTCAACCTAGGTCTCAAAGAAGATACTGCATCGGTGTGGAGTGCTATTAGTTCACGTTTGAATTCGACCTCACTGATGTAAGCTCCATTGCAATATTGGTCGATATAGTTATTGAAGTTTGTAAGAGATCGACGGATGCAACGAGGAGGGAGCGCTCTTCTAGCCATGACGTCATTGCGATGTCCATCTGTGTGGCACGCGAGTAAAAATTGCTTGGACATCAGTTGATTGTGTTCTTTTACAAGAAGCAGTTTCGTTTCCTCATTAGTGTTGGTTATCATTTTTTATTCAACATTTGTATTGTTGAATTGTTACTTACTGACTTTTAGATTTAGACTTAACCCCGTTTTAACCTCAAATTCGACTCCCAGTTCGTGTGTTGTTGAATGGAAGTTAACGTAGATATCATAATTGGCTCCTTTTAGTAGAATGGGTGAAGCTTGAAAGTTGTGTTAATCGAAGTGAAAGTTATGAATGTTGTGTAACACGTTAACTCATTAGTGTCCATTGACATATTTTATTGCCACCTAATTTCGTTCTTATTTACGATTTAACGGTAAGATAAAAAAAAATATAGATAAATGTATACATTTAAGTTGCCAAGCTTAAAACGCATTATTGAAACTTTTTTTTTAAACTTTCTAAGAAAAGATTATTTATAGGCTACAATGTTTAGTGCTGTAAATAAATTGCGAGTATTATTCAGTTACGTGCAATCAGACACGTTGCCTTATATGCTTACTTCCTATCACACCTACTAATTTTTTATATAATATGAAATTGAATATTGATTGTATTAAAACAATTATGCTAATTCAAGTTCATTTCTGTGCTTAAAATTTTCAATAATTACGGGTTGTATATAAATATATACATATGATTAATATATTGTCTTACGTTACCTGCTTTGCTCTATATTTAAGATATTATTATTACACGTCTAATCCAGATCATCTTGTAACATACCATATATACTAGTGAATTTTCGGAATAAAAATTATAGGCAAGAATGTGTAGATATGTTAAAATTATACTAAAGGAATCGTAATAATTACAAATACATGATTCATAAGTTGTAATTAAATTCGTATAGTTTTTAAGATAATTTTCTTATGTGTTATAATGACAGAGCTGCTCTGATTCATTAAGACATTTCAACCCAAATATGTAAAATACAATTATAGCTCTTTTTGGTTTTACATAAATATATATAATTTATTTAATGATATCCACAACAATTAATAGTTTTTTCTGAATTTTATCTATAACTTAATTTTTGCTTATTTCTTTAAATAAATCTATTGATCAATATTGTGATTTACTCGAAGTCAATATTTTGTGACTCGTTCGGCTTTTATTAATAATTACTGTAATAATCATGTTACAATTAAAATAATCTACATTTGTGAAAATCCCAGGCTATTAACTTTGTATAACGCATTTTTGCAGTTGAAAGTTATTTTGAAATTTGTCAGTCCGCTTAGTGTATCACTGCCAACTAATTGCAGTCTAAATTAAAACAAGTTTACATTAATAAAAATGAAGGTCTCTATAAATGTGAATCATAAGCTCTTAACATCCAAAACATCAATATCCGCTACAATTTACGATGCGTGAACCACTGGAATCCCCTTGAAAAGTGTTAAAAGCGGTCGATTGCCTTTAAAATCGATCGAATGCAAGAATTTAAAAAAGAAGTCACTTTTCAAAAATTTATTGCGATACAAATATTTTCAAGGAAAAATTCATTTTACTAAGTTTAACTGGTTTACACATACGTCACTGAATTTTTGAAATACTTTATGTTGTGCATATGACAAGACAAATTTATATCTTTTATGCAAACTAGTATTTATCAGGTGGTAAATGATATGTGAAGCATGCAGATACATACCAATGAACGCTATTCACGTTTAATTTTATAGTAAACATTTAGTATTAAAACTGTTTTTAAATTATTGATTTATAAGCCAAAAGAAAGCAATATGCAAAACAATTACCCATCCATGCACTTCGAATGGAGTAAAATCGGTTGTCTATGCACATGGCATTAAAAGTTGATCAGGTGAATGATCTCGTTAGAATGTATATAAAACGATTGCAAATAAGAACAAATGCTGACAACAGCCAAGTCAGAAAGTCTCTACTGTCCCATATTGAATTCAAAAAAAATTCTTTTTGCAGCTTAGTATCGAAGCAGTTTCGGCTCACATCAACTTACAGACACACAGGTTGTAAGAAATAATTGAGTCCTGAAAGCGTCTAATTCTTGCAATTCCTATTTATCTACAAATTTCAAAATTTTAAATAATGACCAGTACATGTTTTTGAACTCAAGTCAACTAATTAACTTTTGGTTCTATTTAAATGCTGATATGTATTTTTTTAAAAACTCGTCTTTCGATAACCTACCACATAAAGATGTTAATTTGGAAATGTACATTTTCTGTTATTTTTATTTGCCGATAGTAGCCACTTGAATTGAAAAGCCTCTAATATATCTGACATGATTGATGGCCTCTGATACCAGAATGAACGTAGTTAATACCTTCAAGTATCTTTCTCTTATTATCTTAACGCAAAAAGAAAATAGGTCTCTTTTCTAACCTTAATCTTCTCTCAATAGCAATTTTATACTGGTGGGATTTAAATAGTGTTTCCTGAAATGTATGCTTCCTCAATTGACAACACTTCTTATATAGAAATAGTCATAATATAGTATATCTAACTTAGTCATCAGTTTAGTAAATCTTAAGCCTTTAGTATGCAGGCAGTTGTATGGAAAGCGTATTTTCTAAACCATATGCACATAGATAAATGAGAAATCTTCGATAACATATAAAGGACCTTATGCTGTAGCTCCAGTTCAACATTTTCTCTTAACTAATAAATCATCGTCATAGATTTACTAAACTTATTTTAAAGTAATTGAATAGCAGTGTAATGAGATTCCAAATATTTTTTGCATAAATGCAAAAAAGTATCAAACATGAAGGATTTTCCAAAAAAAAAGTGTTCAACGACCACACCAGTTCAACGAATGGTCCATATAGCCATTAAAAATCGTTATCGTTTTCAGTATTTTTATAGTGGCTGGAACATCTGTATGAATTCTATACAATACTGTAGGATGTCATTATGCCGAGTACTTCACTTTTTAGTTTTGAAAGAGTGTTAAACTGAAATATTAAATATTGTAATCAATTCCGATTATGATTATATCTGATTTCTTTAGACAGCTGATGAACAGATGAGCGTAGTTACTGTTAAATACAACTTAAAAATATCTTATGAAATTTAAGTTTTTGATTTAGCACATTTAATTGGAATTCTGCTTTTATTATAAAAATCAGGTTCAGAAGCCCAAATTAGTTTCAGAAAATTGGCAAGCTATACCGCAAATCAATGATATGTTATTTATGCTATATGAGTCCAGATAGTAAAATATTGATGCTGCGTCCTCTTTCTCTCTGGCGTAGTGTCAATAACTGCAAAGCAGTTGCATGAAACATGTGAACTTACGGGGTGTTGTGAGAATTAGTAGGCTATATAGTACGTTTTAGCAATAGCTCTAATAAAAAAGAGAAAAAGATAGAGATCAAGATATACCGGAATACCTTAAGGTACATAAAATAAAACTGTGGGTATTATTATTTTGAAAAGTTATAATATATTTATTATTTGTTTTTCATATTATTTTATTTAACAATATTTTGAGAAAATTTTATTCGAAAAATTTAACATTTGCTGCTGAAAAGAAGTATTTTGATAAAAAATTTTATTATTTTTATAAATTTTGCTTATTTTTCAAAAAGGCAAAGTGCAAATAATTTTTAAGCTATTTTTGCATTAATTTATTTATATTTTATGGGTAAATTATTTAATTTGTTGAATGTTGATAAAAATTTAAAATAAAAAAAATTTCATAATTTGGCATTTATGCTATGTTAATATATGCGAAATATAATTTGAAAAATTTTGCTCACTGTGAAATATTTTCTTAAATATTTATATTAATTAATTAATTGCCTTTGAAAATTAATATTCATTATTGTTATATTACTGTCTTTTTTATTGTTTGTTCTTTATGTCCTTTTGAATTTATGTTTTTATTGTATTATTACGAAATAATTAAATTTATGTATATAAATTTTCTATTCTCCTAAATCAATTTTTAATTATCGTCTGCATTATTTTAATCATCTGATTAATTTTATTTTAAATCTCATGCATTTTATTATAATATATATGATTTTTTTTGTAATTACAATACACAAAATTTTAATGACTATTATCACAATTTATAAATTTTTATTTTAATTTTAACTTTTTTAAAATATCAATAAAAATGCTTAACAAATTTATAAAATCTGTAATAATTAAAAAAATAAAACATTAAATTTCTGTTTATGTTAATTTCATTTAAATAAAATAGTATTTGTAACTATTATTAAGCTATTTGCTAAGCAAAAATAATTAATTTTATCTTAAATCAACATATTTAATATAATTTCTAAAAACACTATTTTGATGTATCTAACTTTTATAATTTTTAATAAAATAATAACTCAAAAATTAGTTTTGTAGTGCACACTATTATTGTAAACTTACGATTGCTTTAGTGCAGTTTTTATATAAAACCAAAAAAAAAAGTTTATACTTAAATTATTTATTTAAAAAAAGCTTCAAATAATAAATCGCAATTTAGTTTGTGTTAAAAATTCGTTAAATAACTACTTTTTTCTACGAGCGTTTGTGTAAAATGTTTTTCATTTTTCAACTTGCACTCAAATCTTAAACTTAAATCGTTTCTAGTTCTAGAGTCTAGTATTCCATCTCGTCATCATCATCACTGTGACACAGTAGCTTGCTAAAATAATTTTAAATTTAAAATTTTTGTTTTTTGCAAACATTTAGTATTTTAATATTTTGTAAAAAGCGACTAAAGTGATCATTTCTTAGGAATAAAGAAATCTTAGATTATACAAGAAAATCTAGTATAAGACTTTTGACATGCACTACAACTACAGTATTAATTTAGAAAAAAAAACCTTCAAATGAATAAATAATTAAATTAATTATAAATATATTTTTTAAATTTTTTTTTTAATATTATATAAATATTTTATATTCTAATTTTAAATATATATTGGCTGGCATATTGCTGTGAAAAATGTGTGATAAGTTTTTTTATAATAAAGACATTATTTATTGTGGCATTTTTTAATTTTTTATATAATAAAAGCTGCTAAATAAAATGCTGTGCATTTTAATTGTCAATATAAAACATTAAAACGACGCAGTTTTTTTTTTTAATTTAAATTTATGTTAAATAAAATTATAGCCTATTCACACAGCAAAAGTAATTGTAATTTGGATTTAAATATTGCTTGTACGACTTATTCGCCTCTTTCGTTACCAATTCAAATAAAATCACAATCCGATTACATTCACAGTATCGACTACGAAAATTCCGATTGAATTAAATTTTGTACAAAATCAAGTTGAAATTGAATTCACTATAGTGTAATTCTGTAGCGATATTGTGAGTAGTTCTCATAAACTTACACAAAACAAAATATCACTGTAATGGTTGTAATTTTCATTTACGTGAGGAAGTACAAAAATGTGAATATTAAGATTTTTAAAATTAAGATTAAAATATAAAAGGAAAGGAACCGAACGAGTGAAATGTGGACAATATTGCAATTACTTATGCTGTGTGAATAAGCTATTCAACATTTAATAAAAAATTGGTTCTTATCAATAACACAAATTAAGAATTTTATTATATTATTTTATTAAATAAAATTTGTTAAAATCAATTTGATTTAATGTTTTCCATTGAATACTTTTGTAAAAATTAATTATTCTTATTAATGTGTTTTTATTTCCTGCCTAAAAAAAGACTATATATGACTGATTAAATTACTATTAAATTACTACGTGACTTTAACAAGGTTTTTAGACTTTGTAAGATCAACAAACTCCTTTAAACAGGATTAACAATTTAATTAGGAGTAGTATTTATAAATATAGGGCATACAGCATTAGAAAAATTTGACGAAAAGTGACTCCAGTTTATTGGGAAATTCAATAATACGAAATGCATGGGTTAGCATGGGTTAATCTCATCAAAATTTCATACATTCTTTATTATTAAAGTGTTTTTTTCAGGCTAATTGGTAAAAATTTTTTTATTGTTGTTAAAAATAAAAATTAAAATTAAGAAAAAGAAATTACAATTTAATTTTGCAATAATTTTAATTTTTCGATATTTCGACTTTAGTCTAAAGTCATCATTCAGGATATATACTTTATTTAAAGACGGATTTAGATTATGAAAACCTGAAGGTTGCTTTTGATAATATATTATACTAGCACTTCAACATATATAATACTTTTTGCACTTCGAAAAACTTTTATAATTCTATTCTATTATATTAGTGCTAAAATCGAGTTATTGTTCCATTATAAGCATTCCATTTATATGGAATGGAATTTATGGTTATGGTTGTGCCATTGGTTACTATAATATTTCAGCATGAGAAAAAATAAAGTATACTTAAAAAATATGCAATAATAATTCTAAAAAAATTAAAAATATTTATACAAAAAAAATTGTTTAATTGAAGTTAGTTAATAAGTTAAAGTTAGTTATACCAATTTTATTAGTAATTTAATTTACTATAAACTATAAATATCGCAAGTATATGTATATACTCGTAACTATAGTATTTAACTATAGTATTTATATAGTATTTAAAAAGACACAAAAACTTATCACACATTTATAATTGGTGGGTAAAAAAGCTTGCATATGAAAAAATGATTTACTCTAATTTCGTTATATGTTATAATGAAAATTTTAGTGATAAATAAAATATAGCTAGTCAATTTATTATTAAATTCTATCTATAGCTACTAAATAAATGTTAAAAAATAAAACATTTAATAATAATACTTGCAAATAAATTTATGGAGTTCAATTCATTCTAATCCTTGTTTTTTTCTGTTTGGTTATTACCTAGATCTCTTTTTACTAACATCAGTTTCTGATCTTTCAAATAATATAAAAAAGATCCCTTATGAATTATTTTGTTCATGAATTGCATTAATCAACTTCTAAAGCCTAGTACCTAACATTTTACCGTTGAACTGAAATTTATCTGTTTGTCGCACTAATAATCTCGTACCTATCTAAAGAATTCAAAAGAGAAATTAAAGCACGACATTCTCCAGATCGACAGCAAATTATCGATGGCTTATACTAACTATATTTGAACTGCTCAGAGTTTATGAACTATAGAATTTTTAATGTTTATTGTGCTATAAAAAAGTTTCAATTTTTTATTTATATGTCTATTTTTATATAATAAATATTCTGAAGTGATTTCAAGTTGTCAGCTATTTGACAACAGATTTTGATATACGATATATTGCTTCAAAACTCTGAGCAGTTTTTTCCAATACACTCTATCTAGATATATTTTAGTTTGAGATATCGAGCTAAATGATGTAGTGGAAAAAATTTTCGTTATTAAAATTTACCAAAATCCATTGTTAAATCGCACCTCCAGAATATATAGAAAAATTGTTATAAAAAAATTAATTAATAATATTTTTTATTTTAGAAAATATTTTTACTCTTTTTGTATTTTATAAAAAATGAAAAGATAATTAATTAATAAAAATATTTTTCATTTTTTATTTATAAAAATATTTCTTTTTTATTTAAACTAAAGGAGTTTTTTTTATTTTTATAAAAAATAGAATATCAATAGTTTTTTTTTGTATCTTCTGCAATGGTTTCAAAAAAGTTAACGTTTTTAAATTCGGTATTCGATTTTCCATTAAAAAAAAAATAGTTATATGAATTTGAATTTCTATTGAATAATAAGATATTAGAAAAATTTCGAAATTAAATGACCTTAATCAATATATATTAATATATTCAAATATTATGAACAAGATTTTTTTAATTTAATTTAACATAAAAAAACGAAAAAAATTATTTGAAATTAATTTCATTTATATAATTCAATCAATTTTTTTTGTCAACATTTATAAAGTTCTTAAGGTAATTGAATCTATTAAAGGGGCTTGCATACCACTAAATCTAATCGGTAACTAACCCCATGTGATTGTATGAAAACATCAATTTTCCACCAAAATGTTTACGACATTATTGGTAAATTTTGAATGAGGTTTACGAAACATTGAATAAACTTATAGTAATAAAAATATTAAGCAAGATGACAACTTATCTCTACACTAAGTATTTTAATATCATTCATATTCCCTTTTTAAAAAAAAGGATAATTTTAAAAAAAATATATATATATAAAATTCATCAGCTATTGTTATATTTTATAAAATTATATGAATTCAATTATAATAATATATATGTAATTATGGAGCGTATTATTTTATTATAAAATAATAATTTCTTTATAAAAATAACTTAATAATACGTATATTCTAATTACTACCTATTTAGCTTAAAAAATCCTGAAACAAAAACGAAAACTATAACTAAATAATAATAGTATTGTTTAACTATTTACTTGTGATCTACAAAATTTTAATATTCTATATAAGTTGTGCTTCTATTTAGAAAAACTATTAAATATTTAAAAAAAAAGTCCTTAAATTTTTAAAAAATTGAAACTGCGTGTACTAGAGAATTAAAAGCAAAAATAATCTGACAAAAGTTTTTAATATAATCACCTTTTAATTACTATGTAATAGGAAGTAAAAACTATTAAATTATATATTTAAAATATATTTTATTCTTTCATTAATATTTATGTGTATGGAATTAGGTACGCTTGTAGTATGTGTAGTAAAATTTATATTTTAATATAAATATTTTATCTAATATGGCTTCAGGTGCGATATTAGTTGAATAATCTTAGCTTTTTATTGTAAATATATTAACTAACTACTCTGGTTTGTGCAGAAGGGGAAAATCTTAATTAAAAATAGTTTATTATGCTTAAATGCTGTTTCTTGATATTTTAATATTTATTTTAAAATGTAAATTCAAACGGTTTTCAGGCACTTGTTTTTCATTAATAATTATTCATTGATAAAGATTTTTCCGGATTACATTTCATGCAGTTAACAATCCTGTAAAATTTTATAAAAAAATTCATATTTTAACAATTTATATAATTTTACGATTATATCTTTTTTTGAAGTAACCAATAATGAGGCTAGAATGTTTAAATATTTAAACTAAAAAATTATTATTAATCCTATGTATTATATGCAACATGACACAAAAATGTTCGTTTTGGTATATTAAAATAAATTATTAAAAATCTTAAACATGCTATAAAAAATGGAGACATGTGTAACATTAGCCAATTATTATATATTTTTACTACTCATACAAATTATTTCAATAAATTTCGATCTTATATAAAAAATTTTATGCTCATGCATTTTTATAATAAAACATGCTTATGTATTCTTAAGACAGTATTAAATTTTTTACTACACGTTATTAAAAATATATATGATAACAATATAAAACAGATTTTTTTTCAAAATGTTTTGACTTTTTTTTACCAATCAATATTCAAATATATTAAAATTGTAAACTTAATTTTTAAACTTCATATTGTTCTGCGATAAATATTTTTCTGCGTTTTTTTAATTTTTCGCTTTAAACACTATTGAAAATTTTACTGATATTATTTAAAAGAAAATAAAATTTCATAAAAAATACATATTTTATATAATAATAACCATATTCTGTCGGTACTAGATCGGACTATAAGCCTCTTCTTAAGGATGCTTGCAGATTTGTTTGTAACACTGCAGCAATTTGTCAAATTGCAGATACCAATCCGCTATTATCACAAACAATTTTTACAGATGGTTACAATTTTCAACAAAATTTCTAATGAATGTGCTCAATAGATCACATTTACTTGATATTATTGAATTTTATAGTCCCTTAGTTAATTGGAGACCTTAGAACAAGTTTCTTGAAGCAAAGAAGTTTCTTGTTGTTTTAGAGACTTTAGCAAGAGACTTATTGTTTTTTTTGCTCACTTCAGAGCTGTAGATTATAGGTTGTTTTTTATAATTATCAAGAATTTTTATTGACACATCAGGTCGTTAAGTTTTCAATACAAATAAAAATTAATGAACAAATACCCTTCGTTATTTAATATTATTTAAATTTATCAATCATAAATATTTTGATCCACCTCTTAGATATGTACCTGTACAAATGATCTCAGAGTTGTGTCGAAATATTTGTAATTAAAAATTTCTATAACATTAAATAGTATTTTTTGAAAATAATTTTTATTAGTATTATACTTATATACATGTATATTTGTAGAATTAAAAAAAAATGTTTATTTGCTTATATAAAAAATCGAATAAATACCTCTATAAATTTTTTTTATATTAGATCTTATGTTATAAACTAAATTGTTAACAAAATAAGATTAAAGAATTTAAATACCTCATTTTATCACACCGCACATTTTCATTAAAAATATTTTTTTTTAAAAAAATGAAATTGAAAATAACAAAATATGTGTACATAATATACTTATCAATGTTATTAATAACGTGTAGTATATAATTTATGATAGGACATACAAATGTACTTAATTATGAAATTCTTATTAAATTAACAAAAATATTAATAAAAATACATTTATGTATTTATAAAAATTAAAAGCAATCAACTACACACAATATAAATATCAAAAATGCACATAAAATTTTATATTCTCATTAAATAAGACAAACGTAATGATCGGTCGTGTTAAAGTTTATGATAGATATATGATTTGATGTTGCATATATAAACTCACTCTTCCTTAGTTGGAAATTTTTCAGCATAAACTCTTGAAGATTTATTGCATGCTTTATCACAACATGGACAGTACCAATAGCTTAAGACACCAATTGATATTGCAAACAGCACATTTGGTATTATCAATGATAATACAAGATGATATAAATTATTTTCCCACGAATAACGTCCTATAACCACTTCTGGATAGGCTCGACTATAAAAGCATGGAAATGGTTCTCCAATATGTGTAAAACTGTTAAATAAAAAATATAATATATATTAGCTTTTCTGGAATAATGAATATATTTTTTATTTTTATTGCCATTAAAGCATATGACCTACCCATACTGTCTCGCGAAAACACTGCAATTTGTTGTTGGCGGATAACCGCAACCCTCAGAATTGATCAGAAATTTAGTATAACTAACGTCCCAAACAACTGTATCCAAATCTTTCGGATTTTTTTCCCATTCATTAAATGGTATTCTTGTATAGTTGACATATAGTTGATGGCACCTAAAATAATTTAAATAAAATTTATTATTAAAAGTGAATGTATATAGTGAATATATTGTATTAACATATATAAATTCTAAAATATTAATAAACAAAATATTTTTTTTTTAACGGGAACATTTTTTTTTGTTTTTTAAAAAATTTTTTTTGAACCAATATTTCGACTATATTCTATAGTCATTTTCAGGATACTTCAGGGTTAGTACCTGATGGTGGTGCTTATTTTACTTAATACAAACTATTATATTTAGTGGAGAGGTGGACGACTTGGGTAATGAGCACTGATTCTGAGCTTCAAATTTTGCAGGGTAAGAGTTGAACCTTTGGTACTTGCATTTTGAAAAATTTATTTACGAATAATTAAATATAAGAATTTATTCCGAGACCATTGTTGATGGGTATTTTGTAATACTTGAAACAGCTGCATGGTCAGCCAAAAATTAAATTAATTAAAATACTAAAACAATTAATGTTGTTGTAGTTCACTACTTTTCGAAACCTCTCTAACAGTTAAAATTGTTAATTGTTAAAATCTAACAATTTTTATCAAAACAACTAAGTGTTTTGTAAAGTGTTGTAATAATTTATTTATTCGTATATTTACAAATATATTTACATCTAAAATTAACGTTATTAAATCTTACATATCTGTAAAATTGATTATAATTTGTGTTGTGCAAATAACTGGGATTATTGAGTTATTATAATAAAGATAGTTTTATGAAATCCGATTTAAATGCAAATATTATTTAGAGCCTCAATATATAATCAATAGAACTTTTATTTAAGCCATGTCTGCACTAAAACTTATAAATATTTCTATATGCGCTCAGATATTAGTAATTATTTTAATTTGAAAATTAGTTGACAATACTTCTTAACTGTTTCTTGTTTGATTTTTTTTTTAAATATTACATCAATTCCTGGTCCATTATTTGAACTTAATAAATTATAAAGAATTAAAATTGTACTGATAGTGTGAGTTAATAATAATAATAAAGTATTAATAAAGTATTTATTATTTCATTGATAATCTCTTACTTGGTGAGTGATGATGTGCAGCCTTCTCTGCATGAACTCCATGAACAATTTTTAATACCTTCTGCATAGACATGATCAATCACAATACATGTAACAGGCACTGGATCGTAGTCTGCAATAATTGTTGATATTGCAGGATCGACAACAAATGGAATTAAGAATAAAAATGCGAAAACAGATAAAATAGCCGTTGTACCTGTAAAAATAAAAATAAAAATAAAAATAAATTTATTAAATTATTAATTCAAAACACAAAAACGTTTTGCTTTAAATTTACCAAGACAAACTGATGTGTAAAACTTTGCTTTTTCCAGTATGGTTTCAATCTCAAAATCATCCTTCTTGCCTCTAGATGGCGGTATAGAAGACTTACTCGACTTACTACTATTGAGACTTATCTTGCTGCCTGTTAAACTATGTGCTGATAATGTCGATGGACTTGTGGGCAGCGACATAGTAGTTGTAGCTGTCGAACTTTTCTTCATTGGTGCCATATAATTACGAACGAGGGGTGTGTCACACGAAAAACGATTTCTAATAAAAGCGTTCCTTAAAACCAAATAATATGCTTACGTTTTTGTTTTTTGTTATAAAAAGCGCTGCGTTTTATTTATATAAAATATTGCTTAATTACTTAATTTTGTTTTTAGAATATCTCAATTTTTATCTGCCATATTTAATTGGGTTTTAATTAGAAATCGAACACAAATTTTCTAAAAGTTTTTTTTTGGAAGTTGTTTCCCGTTTAATTTGTTCCTTGTTTTTTAAACATACACGGTAATATATATTTAATAATCTTACTGACTTTGTATGTATAATTTTATATTTTATTGATATACCAAAATGTTTTTGTTGAATTTGTTATTTTATATATAGCGCTATTTTTAATTATTTTATATATTATATATTTTGGTTTATTTTAAGTTAATCAGTAATTATAATTAATATTTATCTAAAGGATTGTTTTGTCGGTTTCTTGGTTTTAGACCGTTTTCTAGCCTTTACTATAATTTTTTTCTTGTCGTCTAATGTTTTTTTTTTGTGAAATATTTTAAAATCTTATTTTTGAGTTTTAAAATTTATATTTTATTTTTTTTTATCACGCATCCCTCTAAACCGTTTGATTTTCGTTACGTATTTCGAAAGTGTATCTGTGGAAATGTGTATGAGTGTTTTGAGCGTTCAACTAATTTTAATTGTAAAAAACTAAACTATAAAGTGGAAGTTGATTTCCTAATAAAAATTTAATTTAATATTATGATTTAAACAATTATAAAAATATTTATTTTTAAAGCTAATATTGTCTGAATCGTATATAAAAGTTACAAATATAGTAACAGTGTTTTTTCTTGAAGTTTTTTTTCTTGAAGTTTTTTTTCTGTTTTGAATGTTTTGTGTTTGTGGTTATTGCAAGCTTTTTTAAGTGATGAATTTATTAAGTTAAAAAACACGAAGTAATAATATGCAAATTCTTGCTTTTGAAGTAATTTAATTAATTAAATTATTGTAATGCAAAAACACCAGCTTGATGAGTTGGACTGTCTTCTTGTAGTAGAGGAATGCCTGTAATTAAAAAAAAAATACTGTTAAGTATAGAAATAAAATATATGATAGTTATGTGCTTCTTTCAGAGCTCAATACTCAAGAATATTTCAATATATTCACTTGAATTTTATATATATAATTTATATGATTACTGTTTATTAATAATAATATTAATAGTGTATTTTGATACGTCATATACTCATAATCTGTGTTCTTTAAATATTTGTTCTTTTTTGGATTTAATTAGTCGTATATGCTATATGAACTACCAGCACCAATGTTTGAATTTGAACCTTTCCAAATTTAAAACACTTAGCCATGTTTAGCCAATTGACTCAATACCAAACGACTCTTTTTTGTTAATTTCTTATTATTTTGGTTTCAATTTTATCAGTTGTTGTTATTATTTTTGTTATTTTAGTTTTTATTGGGTTCTAAAAAATTATTTTTGTATATTATATTATAGCAAACGCTTGACTTACAGCTATATATGTTTGTATTAATTATTATGGTTTTGTTGTAAGATACCAGTGTTATCCTGTTCAGAATAGTTTTTATTGAATTTAATTTATAAATCACAGTCAGTCATTGTGATCGCAGTAACAATTATGTAGTTTCAGCAAAGTTCAGCAAAGGGTAATTGAGATCATAGTTCAGTAAACAGTTGTTGTAATCACAGTTCCACAAACAGTGATTGTGGACAAACAGTAACTGTGCAACAAATTGTATGTAAAAATAATATATATATATATATATTTATATATATAAATATTTTAATTGTAAAGTTAAAATATTGAATTAAAGTTTTAAAAACTTTAAATTTATTTTAATATATAACACACAAAACGATACAAAAACAAAAAACAAAATAACTCTTTACATGAAGCAACCTTTTCATACATTTTACAAGGTATTACAAAAACAACAATAACACACAGAAATCGTTTCATTTTTCTGTTTTAAAAAAAAACACCCGACGTTTTGAAAAATAATAGTTATTTTTGAATTTCATGTTTGTAAGGCAAAAATAATAATTATTCGAGTCTATGAGTCATTTGTGTGTGAAACAGTGAAAGTCACATAAAAATAATTAGTTTTGAAAAATATATAAAGAAAATTAAATTAATATTTTTTGTGTTTTACTTTAAAATGCGAATGATAAGAGTGATTAATTGATTTTTATTTTTTTCATAATAAGTAACAGTTCCTGCATCATAGTGATTCTTGGATCACAGTTTTACTCATCTCTTCTATTACCTCCATTGCTTAATTTTGTTTTTAATTTTTTGAGTTGTTATTTTAAAGTCGGTTTTATTTTTTAAGGTTTCAATTGCTAATATAAGAAATTCTCCTGATGAAGATAAATACGAATTTGCCGAAATATGTATAGAAATATACAAAAAATATGATCGAAATAAAAGTTAAAATTCTAAAAAACAAAACCGACTTTATTACTCCATTGTCACTAAGTCAATATTCCAATGATGTATATAACCAAGTGCTATACAATTTAGTTTTCTATGAAACATCCTTGTTAAATAACTTGTATTCAGATACTAGTACCATTCTATATATTTATATATATTAAGATTACTGGTCTTTAATGACATAGAAAAGAAATTAAAATAAATCTTACACTCGTAATTATTTATTTTCTTAAAAAAATATTTAATATATAAAACCAATTTGCTTATAAAAATAAAGAAGTTTTAGTTAAAGGACATTCTCAATTAGTCTTTTATTGCTTAAATAGCAATGAAGTAAAATGTGAAACATATTTTTACGTTCATGCAAGCATTTGTTAAGATTTGGCGCAAATAATAAATTTTCTGAATACAAATTATACCCATTGGAGCACCAAAACTGGACCGAGCTTAGCGATAAATAAGCAAGAAAGTGTCCTGACATAAAAACTGTTTTATTTACACACTGACACATTGACACTGGCTGGCATGGCAATTGTTTTCGTACAAATTTTGTACAAAATTTGTAGAGAAAAATGGCGTAAAACATGCGATTTAAGTTGACTTAAGTACAAAGGACCTAAAATATCCTGCGAGTAGTGACGCAATAAAAGCAGAAAAATTAAAGTAATTTTATGCTGCGCCAAAATTCACTGCTTACCGAAAATTTCAAAGAAATGAAAATAAATATAATAAAGGAAAAAACAATGACGCATTAATAAATTACATAAATTAGGACACTCGTATCGTTTGAAATTGATTGTATTGATATTATAAGGGAAAATAAGATTTTTGCCTTGGATAAGATTATCCTCGACATAAAACTAATCACATATGCGTTTCAATAAAAATATGTCTTTAGCGTATTAATATTGAATAAAAGTAATAAAATGTTTTTTAATCTTACGTGACGGATCTCATAGTGCCATAACTTCGTCACCGCCTCCTCCACCAGTATCGCCCAAATTATTTTGTGAGCCCATGTTATTTTTAGCTAATATTGTGTCCGTATCCACACAGCCTTTAAATCGCATTTTCGCATCATCCCCCACATAAACCGTTTTTTGACATAACAATAGCACAAGACAGGACACAACAAAGAGAACTGATGGTACTATTGAAGCAACAACAAATTGCCTGTAAGTAACTTCCAAATCGAAACGTGCAACAACAATATCCTTCTTTAATGGTGAATAAAAACATGGAAAGCGTGCTCGGGCATTGTGATCGCTACCATCGCGTCCGAAATCCTTAAGAAATTCTTTGCATTCATCCATCAGCGTATTTACGCAACCTTCCAAATTAATCATTAATTTTGATTCATTGGATATGGTCAAATCGACATCAGGTGGTGCAATTTCTGGAATTGGTACAGCAACAGATGCATGCAAATGACTGAGATATGTAAAGTTTGTCAAATCAGTCAACATATTGTGTTCCAGTGTGGAGCCATTTATGCAATCAACAGCTTCCACTCTATCTGATGTATTTTTAATGAAATAACATGAGGTCATTACTACATTATCAGCAGATTCATTCCAAACTTCCTCTTCGGTATCTGCATTTATTGCATTTTGACACTGCGAAAGATACACCTTATCGCCACTTAGTACCACAACATTTTTATTACGAGTTGGTATATCCACACAACGTCGATCACAGTTGTATGGCGTGCGTATTTTCCTACATGTGCCACGATTGCATGAGAATAACCCACTTATATCCATGCAATTTATTTTACCACGCCGCCCGGAACACTTAACTGGTGAATCACTATTATGAAAGACACATTCAAATGCATCCGTTATATTCAGACACTGTCCTGCGGTGCAATTAAAAGTACCTGTCAAATTTTTGCATTCATCATTGATGCAACGCGCTTTATCGGCACGGTCCTGATCAATGCCATAGCATGTTTTATTCGCTGAGTTCGTACAATTTTGGAAGGTAATGTTAGTGCCATTATTACGTAAATTCACATAGATTTGTATGCAGGCGCCCGAAGTTTTACTCAGACACCATTCACCACACGAACCCCATTCACAGTTGTCCTTGTTGACAGCACGTGTTGTTGTGCACATGACTGGAGTTGGATCGATACCACTTTTGAAAGCGCGCGTTGATGGCATATAAATGGCAACTGTCAAGTACACCAATGCCACCGAACTGAGCACAAGTGTCATTTGACATACGCATATAGTGCCACATATGCGATTATCTTGCGGTGGCACAATTAAATCTTCGCTGGGCACTTTTTTCTTGCCCATTTCGTTAATGTATTGCTATGTTTAGGATAGTATTAGAAAAGTGCTAATAGGGCGGGATAGAAGAAGTTAGTAAAAAAGTAAAAAATTGCCTTTTTGGCAATGCAGGTATATACGTCTAACGTTATACCTTTTAAACTAATGGCATTAAGGCATTAGGGTACCCTCATATTGGCTTGGCGTACATATCTATGGCAGCTAAAATAGAGAAAATCGTAGGAAATCTTTTGATTACTTTTATTTTTCTCTTATTTTTATTATCGATTAAGCGTGACTGTGTTTTGCTGAGTTGAGGTTATGCGATTCACTTTTAATGGCTGTGGCTCAGGTGGCCGCCGTCATTTGATTGAGCGTTTCAACTTATATAACAAAACTGCTTATTGCGTGAAATATTAAAAATTTTTCATTTCAATTTTTACTCTCATTTAATTCAATTATTTAATAAACTTTTATTTACAGCTAATGACGTTTTAATAAAATTTAGAATGCAATATTTTGCAGTATTGATTTTTATTAGCCTGCTGCCTTGCACTACTTTCTACTGCAAATACTGAATTTTTTTTAATTGAGCATTTATTTTTCATTGAACGGAACTTTATATGAATAACTGCAATATGTTTACTTATATATTTTTATATTTTGTTATATTTATTAAAATATTAAATTTTTTAATATTTTATTTGAACTTGAACACTTTTTCTGTTTTTTTTTCAAACATTTTTATTGCTATTTTGTTCCACTCAAATTTTTGTTGCAGTTTTTCCTCAGGCTTTACTGGCAACTAAATTACTTTTTTAGTTCGTTGTTACAGATTTGTGACGTCCCGACCATCGACAATGTGTCGGATATATGCGAAAGGTCTGTGATATTTTGGCACGAGTAACGCCAAGAGATTTTTATTTTGCAAAAGCTAAAATCAAATCAGTGCGCGCGCACCCCATACAAAAATCAATAAAATTTTATTTCTCTCATAAGGTTTTGGTAGATTTTATGTGATTCTGCAGTAGTATTACTCTTTATCCTTGTTTATCTTCTTCATCTCTGAATTCGTAAATATTTTGTTAATCCCTACCACTACATGGGTACTGCAATCCATGGTAATTCAATCATGCCTACACAATTTTATAAATGAAGTTTATCTGTATGGAATTTA